AGCCTCTCAATACAAAACCCCAAAACCCCAAAACCCCAAAACCCCAGGAGGAATAGAGAAGAAAGAGGGAAATTCAGGGCGAAGTGGAATAAAATGAAGATAGAAATGTTATATACAAAATTAAGGTTAATTATTATCACATTTATACAATATAGCTTTAAGTTCTTATTTTCAATTTGTTTTACATTTATTTGGGATGATTCAATCCATCTATATTAGATTCACTCACTGCTCTTACTTTGATATATCTTATACAATCTAAAGCATCTCTTTTGTTATCTAAGCGAACAAGAATGAATTTTCCGGTCTTGAATTTTCTGGCATCAGTAATTAAAAGACTTCGGTATTTACCATGAGGACACCACTTTTTTTCTCTTCTAGCTTAATGGCAAGAAATAAAGCTGAACAAGCAACACTCTCATTGGCTATTTACTGAGTTACATCTAAGTTCTTTAAATAGTGAAGAGCAACATTAATTGCTTTTGCTTTGAGTGAGCTTATTTATCTTGTTTCGAATACTTAGCCTTTTACTGTCGAATAGTGTTCGAAACGTTTTAATGTCTGAATTATGTAATCGAAGATGCTTGCTTGGCCTGCACCAATTTTAAAGTCTAATGACTTCATAATCATGCACTCACTCATCCTTAACTCTTCTGCTGATGGGAATTGACCGCCTGGGAAGTTATAAAGATTCAGTTTTTTGGCGAGGTCTGTTATCTTAAAAGCTACTCTGTCGCTGTATTTTGTTGATAAATTCAATATAATCAAAGCAGAGAGTCTGAAGTCTTCAATAGTTTTTATATTAATATCCCAACAAAGTTGTGTTTTTATTGACTAAAGATATCTGTGAATGTTTTAGATGATCAAAAAGAGAGTTGGCAATGTGATACTATAGCTTTTGAATATTCTTAGTACTGCATCTATCATCACCTATTTGGCTTGACTCTCATTGAAGTTCTTTATTGTGATGGCATTCATAACTACGAGATCATTTAAAATTGAGGGTAAAAATTGTGATTGATGATCCATATTAAGGGAGTTTGAGCTGTAAGTGTCTTCAGTATCCATGCTAGTAGTGGAACTGGGGCACCTCCTCATAGATGCTAGGCGTTTGCTAAGTTAAATCTTGATAAACTACCTCAATTTCTTCTTGATAGATGACCTTTAGGCTTCTTTGCTAATTTTTTTAGATTCACTTTTTACTTCTAATTTAGCATCAAATTACTAGGCTAAATCGATTTCACTCTAAAATTGGGATGGGATGTTCTGGAGTATGTTGATCTTTGATTTCAAACTACTATCTGAATGACTGCAAGATGTTAGTTAGGTATTGTGTTTGTTTTCGATGGGGAGTTAGAGTAATCTCATAATTATCTGTTTATCGTATTGAATTAAATTATTAATGCTTCAAAGTTAATTTATAGCTTAGTAATATGATTAAGAACAGAACTTTTAAGATATTGAAGAAGACTTGTTAGATCAGAATAGAGTTTCAATGTAATATAAAATATGTACTAATTTTGTCATGAATTCGAAAACATATGGATCATGGGGTTTTGGGGTTTTGGGGTTTTGGGG